ATAAAAGTTGGTGAGATGAGTTGATATGTCATTTTAGTTAAAAAGGATGGAGTTAAAGAGCAAGGACATATTCAAGCCACTTTTGTAACACCAAGAACATACATGAATGGATTTTTAATAGTAGGTGAGAAGTACGACCTTTTTAGTTTGGTATTTTTTTTTCAATATTGTGTTTTCACAAAGGAAATACAACTAAAATATAGTGAAATTGTCAATTACATACTTAAAACTATGGCTTAAGTCATATGTGGCCCCTTAAAGTTGTCCACATATTTCATTTGAACACCTCAACTTATCTTTGTTCCTATTGAAAATTTTATTTGTTTAAAAGTCATTCCTATTAGACACAAAATGCTGACATGTCAAAAAACATGTACTACACTCTCTTTGGACGCATAAAACTATTGAAAATAATATTTTTTTTCTTTTTTTACTAACTTATATACAAAAATTAATAAAAAAGTTAAAAAATAATTTCTTTTGAAAAGGAAGTCTTCTTCCCCGCTCTCTTTCCCATTCTCACCTACCATTTCCATAATCTTTTCTACACACACCCCACCCCCTCCACCTATCTATTTCTCTCACCATCTCCAATTCTTCTTCTGCTTTTTCCCTTTTTATTATTTTTTATGTAGATCTGTATATTCAATATTCCAGCAAAACTCTATTTAATCCGGTGAAATAAATATGAATTAATTTTTTCAGATAAAAGTTTGTTATTATCTGTTATAATTGTGATAAATAATTATAGATGGGAAGAAGATAAAGACAATAAATAGAAGGTTTTGATGCTATTAAAATGAAAAAGAATAGGTATTTAGCTTGGGTGGATGGTGTATTGCCGACGCTGATGAAAGGAGTAAGATTCGATGGAGGAAATAAAAGATGTGAGTTGATTAATGGAGGAGAAGGAAGAGGTCGGATGATGGTTTGCTGGGCTGCCGGTGCCCGCGTCGGCGCCGATAGAAGGGCGATGGAAGAGGGGATATGGGTTTTGAAGAAGAAGACGCAGGGTGGGGGAGGGTAATTCAAAAGAATAAATTTTATTTTCTTAAAAAAACATTTTGGATTATTTAAATAGATCTTTTTAAAAAGTTGGACCCAATGCCACGTGTCATTATTTTATTGGTATGTTTATTATGTACAAGCGTTACAAATACACGCATCTTAATATTTTAACTGAATGTCATTTTATGTTAAATAGGTATATATTTCTTAAGGTCAAAGTGTTCAATAGGTACAAGTCTAATTTAAAGTGTCTAAGTGAAATATGCGGACAACTTTAAGGGGTTGCATATGACTTAAGCCTAAAACTATGCTAGTGTTTCATTACTTGCTAAAATTATTATTTTTTGTTATTATTTACCCTATATATTAAGCAAGGATCTTAACACCTTGAACTTAATTATTTGATTCTTTTAGATCCAAATCGGTCCTCATCGTTTCACGTCTCATACACAATAAATAACGGAGTCTATGCCCTTGTGTATATTAAATGCAAATAATATTTCAATGTAAAAAGAAGAGAAAATGTGCTATACATAATGAAGTGAAAAAAATCCAACCACTTATAAACAAATTGAGACTTGAGAGACGACGAAAATTTAGATGACATTAAAATTCTTTTTTGTGTCTAATATAAATGTGTTTATGCACATAATTTGGTTTAATATCAGATAATTAGTGAAAAAGATATACAATACTATAAAAAAAATATAGGAGCTGATAAGACCCAGTTCACCCCACATGCTTACATATATAATTTGATAATTTCGTCATAATTTTAGTCTATTTGAATGCCTTATACAATAGTAGGAGCTCCAGAATCGCACACGTCATCATTGATATGTGTTTATTTGAATTAATAAGACATTCCCAATAATTATATTTTTAAGTTACGGCCCAATATTATAACTTAACTATAAGTTAAAACATAAATAATTTTAAAAATTAAAAATTTGCTGTTAAAGAACATTCCTATTGACCTTTTAAATTCTATCTATCACATAAATAAGAATAGAAGAAGTAATTGAACCCATGAGATATAAAAATATACGGTCAAATTTTTTTTTGATTGACTCTCTAAATATTATATACGTGTCACATAAATTGAAAAAAAGAAAGTAAAGTTATTTGCAATAATTTACATATTTGCAAATTACGTTAAAAAGTGTTATAAATTGTATTTAATAAATAAAAAATATAATATATTCTTGAACCAATTAGCACTGGCTTGGCTATCTAGTCCCTCTTATGAAGTTCGCGAGGCGAAGTGTATTTTCTAGTTTTTTTTTAGTTAAACAATGGGCCGATTCGAACCCATGTCCTTTTTTTTTTCTTGAAATAAAACAAAACGGAAAATGCCCTAGAAAATAGCCTTCCAATTTATTACGTCATAAAGGAAAACGTCGCTCCAGTGAACTGTTCATCTTCCTCGCCGAACAAACCCTCTCTCGTCCTCCGTCACAGAAACGCTGAGACGAGACACAAATTTACAGTTCTTCAGCTCCAAATCACATGCCTTTGGTCTGATTACAACAGGTATTTATCTTCATCATAGCTGTTACCGTTACTGGTGCATATATTTTGACCTCATAGTTGGTATTTCTCCCCTTCCTGCAACTACATTGCACTGGCTAACTTGGGAGATGCTTCCTTTCCCGGTTCTACTAGATTAGTAAAAGCTAAAATCGTAGATTTGTTTGTTATTAAACTTTGGCATTTCCTTAGAGCTAAGAAGTAGTCAAGCCTCTTAGAACCAAGAATTGGTTAAGTCTCCAGGCGTTGTCTATCTAAAGATTCGTATTGAGTTGGAACAGGGGTTAAATCGTACCTTGTTCATTTTGGATGTAATTTACAGAAGGCCTAAGCATTTTTAGGGATAGTTTCACAATCTTACCAACTTTTCCTTTCTTACACTCTTTTAGTTTACTAATAAAATTACTATAGAACAGAAAGAAAACTAATACCATATCCTTCCTATGCAATTCTTTTCTCTCAACAACTTCAGTCTGCATCTTCGTTGAAGTCAGTGCCATAATTCTAAATTTTATGCTTGTCAACTAAAGAAAGTTATTAGATTCGCTAATATATTTAAATTTCTAACGGCAAGTTCAACTACATAAAATTAGCGATTAGTAGTGTGCTTTCTATCTTTTCTAGTTTGAAACCAAAGAAATCCATTGATGTCCTTTCAACTCTTTAGCATTAGTCAATGGTGATGTTTGTTGCAAATTGAAACAACTAGAAAAGTCTCAATTGCTAAAGGTATTGTTGATTAAAATCTTCCATTAGTTGTGACTTTTATGTGCACCAATCTATCCTTTCTCTGTTGCTTCATGTTGTTGATTTTTGTTTATGTGTTTGTCTTCTTTTACTTCTTGGTTGTGCTACTTATTTTGATTGGATATGAGGTGGAGGAAATATTCATAAAGGAAAAACATGGAGTTTTATCCAATACAAATGTTGCGGAAAAAGAATTATGAGCTTCATATTAGTTTTCTTTTTTTATCTATAGAAATTCAGTTATTAGTTATTAGTTAATTAAAAGAATATAGAAAACGACAAATTGGTCATATTTTTAGTAATTTGATTTTGCAATCATTAAATTAAATAATTGTTTCAAAAAGTCAAAAAAAGAGGTGAGCATAATATTGTAAACCATAAGGTAGGGTGGTGTTATGAAGTCTAACCTGGAGGAGGTTTATGAAATTATTCCTATTTTATTGGAATAATCTAACTATAGGTCTAAAGTGAATACCATATAGTTCGGTTGTTAGGAGCACAATATTATGTGAGTTGAATGTATGTATTATGTGAATTTAGTGTTACTGGGCATTCAATTGCTGATATTACTTGAAGGAAATCTTGAAAATAACATTGAGAATGTTAAAGATGTCTAAAAAGGAAAGTAATTAGTTCTAACAACTTCAATAAAGCTGATCATGTTTACCTTGTGTGCACCCAAAGGGTAGGGGCTGTGGGTTTCCCTTGTCATTAAAAAAAGAAAGTGGCAATACATGTAACTAACTAGAGGTATAAAGTCATCTTTTTTTTCTTGAATCACATTAGGATAAAACATACGCGGTTATCTAAATATTAGGAGAAAATGTGCGTGCGCATAACTGAAAAGTAAAACAAGCTATTTAGTTTGTTTCCTTTTCATTCGTAGTATATTATTCATAATATATATGTAAATAAAAAGGCTTCCATTTGGTGAAGTAAATAGCATTGATAACTGGCAAGAAGGCATGTGGTATGAGGATAAAGAACATTAAGGTGTAAAGTAACGCTTTCAGAATGAAGTGGATGTGCATTTTTGGTTTTGGCAGCAGGCTAAGGAACCTATACAGACAGAATGTTGGTTTTCTATGGTTTTATTTGGAAAAGAAAATTGTTTGTCCAGCTGGTTCTCTTGTATGCGCCTCTATTTTAGCAGCCCTCCGTTTACCTAAAAACCTGCATGTGGTCCTTTCTATTCGTGCATTAATTTTTATATTCTTTGGTCTGGCTTTGGAATCTAGTTGCTCATTCATCTCACGCGCTCTATTGCTCATACAGTGACACATGTCTATCAACTCAATCTTAATAATCAATAAGGAACCAAAAATTAAAATAATACTTCAATCTCTACAGCTTTTACTACATCCATATGCAACATACTTGCTTTGGATATAACTTATCAAGAAAAAGAAGAAGTGTTTATCTCAGTTCTCTTCTCTTTCAGATATTTCTATGATTTTGAACCTACCACAATTTCAACCCTTATCTCTACATAGATCTAGCTTTTGGAATTAAACAAACGTATTAAACACTTATTTTTTAGATAGGTAACAGTGATATTTATAGAACACTTTGTAGCGTCACATTAGTGTTATAGTGAAGGACACACTAAAGTGTAATAGAGGAAGAGAGGACTGCTTTGGCCTTTGCAGTTCGTAAAATCAGAAGTTTTTGTCCAAACTTTATGGCTACTAATTAGTATTTGATATTTGACATAGATGATTGTGATCATTGTGGAGAAATGATCTTAGTGCAAAAATGTGTTACTAGTTCTGAAGGCAATGAGATCTCAGAATCATCTAACATGAGCTATTTAACTGGTGGAAAGACTGAAACCAATCTTCCAAATCAATCGGAAGTTGTTCTATGTCAAGATTTAAATGGAAGATTAGACGGGGTTGGCTCCGCAGTTGTTTGTGATTATACTTGTCATAATGATGGACAATCTGTGGAGGTGTCACAACTTTGTACTAGAGACTCAGATGGGATCTCCGGTTTGAACGCTGATCCAGCTGCTATAACTGTGAGGGAGCTGCTATTAGTTCATTTTGTATATTTCACTGATTTTGAAGGTGTGCATCTGATGATTCCTTATTATAACTTTGTTGTCAACTTCAGAAAAGTGCTAAGCACGAAAGTGATATGACCTTGGAAGATATGTATAATGCTCGGTATAATTTTGACGAGGATGATGATGACAGTGACTGGGAACCATCAGAAAAGCAAATAGAAGTTCTGAAGTGGTTCTGTGTCAATTGTACAATGATCAATGTCGAGGATGTTGGCAATTGTGAAGTAAGTTGTTTATCTTTTTGGCTGTTTCTTTGTGCTCATTCAGCCTGCCCAGTCTCCTTCTGTTTTCTAAGCTAAATTAATTCTGAAGTTTTCACTTACTGTTGACATTATATATTCCATGGTTTATTAAAAGAATATTGCCTATGCAGGTATGTGGAGAACACAGAGAATCTGGGATACTCAGTCATGGATTTTTTGCATCTCCATATCTGCCTTTAGAGGATGTCAACCAAGATGAGTTGCCTGTAACTGAAGATTCTGAAGGTTGGTAGTAATTTTGCATAACAGAATATTATATTTGCGATTTTGATTGATTAATAAATGACTTCCTCGTGTAATGAACGGTATCGTGTATAGTTGAAGTTTTATCCCGGTATGTGAAATACGCCCATACAAAAGAATTTGCAACTTTCGTAGCCTCTAGGACAGTCACAAAGAATATAGCTGTGGATGCCGTGAATTGATCATGTTAGCTGTGAAATAGTTTATCTGTGGAAGGCATAATGTTTTGGAAGTTGAAGTCTATTATATATCTGCTATCTTATGGTTGAGCCCTCACCTTTTGTGTCGTCTCCTACACAATGTTGTACCGCTGTTTGTTGGTTCCATTTGGTTTACCCCCTTTTCAGATAACCCATGGCAGCAAGAAAAAAGTCAAATATCTGGAAACGTAGAATGGAAGTACAAAATCTAAGAGTTAGCTTATATCATAATCTCATAGCCAGGAGTCATTGTTTCGAAATGCCTCTAGAATAATGTAGTTGGTTCACCCATGTATAACTAAGTTTGGTACTATCAATATATGATGACTTAGTAATTACTCCTGTTGCACTGGCTTAGTGCTAATACTTAGAGAAGTTCTTATTTACCAAACAAAAACTACGTATAATGTATATTCGTTGACTCAAAGCAGATACGTATCTAAATTTGAAAAAATATCTAGTCACGTGAAAGCCAAAGCCAAGGTTCATCGATAGTCAATTGAGGGGAATATGTGAAGGTAAGGAGTAAAAATCTTAGCACAACATAAACAAATGACATTTTATTTCTTATATCTGATAATTTTGGGTCACACAAATGTTTGGTGGATGAACAGTCGTAGGTCATTTATTGAATCGCAAAGTATAGTCCTTATTAATGTGTAGCCGGGAAGGGGCCTAGAAGTGCCTACTACTACACCACACTACACTTGGCTCTACACATTTACAGAGCTAACCCCTGTCCAGTGCCTGGCAGAGCTAAGGGGGCTTCAATCCTTACTCTTTATCCCCATCTTCGCCCAGGCTTAACGGGGCCTTACTTATTCAGGGGGGAGAGTGGAGCCTCGAAAAGCACTGTTGAGAGGAAGATCCTTGGCCCCTCTTCATTCTCTACAGGGTTCCAAACCTTTCTTCAACATAGGTGACAACGAGCCAGGCAGAGATGGAAGAGATCAAACACGGGAATAAGAAGCAAGCTCGCCTTCCTTTTTGATCATTTTGATAGAGGGGGATGAAGAAAGTGGACAAAACAGACATACTACTTCTAATTGCTCTTACTCATAGAACACGTCTTTCTTCTTTTCCTATGGTGCATGTCTATTGCCAGTTTTTACTATGTTTATTTGTGTATTGCGCTAAATGGTTTATGACCTTTCTCTTTTTGTTTGTTTTGGCATAACTAGTATATTGATTTTTCTTCTACTGTAGATTCGTGCAAGCAAAGTTCTTTATCATCCTCCACTGCTGTAGGGTTTGATGAGAGGATGTTGCTTCACACAGAAGTATGGTATTTCTTCAATTTATTATCTTCTGTGTTAGTCTTTTATTGATTGTCCTTGTGCCTTCTCTAGTCGTAATAATGAATAAAAAATTTTAAAAAAAGAATTGAATTGTTCTTGCATTTTGTTTTGGATATTAGTTATTGAATACCAGTTTCCTGTTATTGATGACGATATTATTTATCGGTTCTCTTTTGATTGAAAAGGTTGTAATGAAGTCTCATCCACATCCTGAGAGACCAGATCGTCTTCGAACCATTGCAGCTAGCCTTGCAACAGCAGGTTTTCTTCAATTCTCTTTATCTCCGGGCCTTAGAGAACATTGCAGTGGTATAGCCTAGTATTGTGATATGGGCATCCACACTTTATGTGAAGTTGTAGAAGATTTAAGTGGTTTATACTGTCTAAAATCTATGATGTCTGTTCGTTGAAAAATGATTGTCTAATCTTTCGTGTTTTCTTGACATGTTAAGGTATATTCCCAGGGAAGTGCTATCCCATTCCTGCAAGAGAAATCACAAGGGAAGAACTCCAGATGGTGAGTTGCTCTCAAATTTTAGTTGTTTAGTGGATTATTGGGTGTGCTATGTGCTGTATACAGCATTACTTGAAATTTTGTACTAGTGTCTTCTCTGAGACCCATAGGTAATGCAATCAGAGAAGATGCTAGACTTTTGCACACATATTTTCTCAAATTTTCTAGATGCTGCTATTCAGAGGTGACTAGCTGATTATCTTTTTTTTTTTTCAATTCTAAAGGTTGGTTATGTGTCCTATCTACCTTTAACCGACAAAAAATAGTGTCCTATCTTCCTTTAAGTGAAGGAAAGCCAAGATATCTACGATAAAATTATGGTTTATTTGATCATTAAGGACTCCTAAAACTCAGGTTTCCTTCAACAGTGATGGCCAACTATTTTTACTAGTATTATATACAAAAAGACAGAGGAGGTGATATCCTTTACTTCTAGAATTTTTTTTAGATTTCTTATGTATTAATTCTTATATATTTGGACCTTTAGGTACACTCCGAGGAAAATATTGAAGCCGTTGATAACACCAAGCGTATGCATGCCAGGTTTGAGAATATTGATTATTTACTTTCCATTTTTTTCGATCAGGTATCATTTGCTTTTCATTCTTATTGGTTTTGGTTTTGGTTTTGTTTAAGGACATTATTGTACTGGGACTACCCACGTGTAATAGAAAACCTTAGTATTTATCTTGATCAAGAGCTTTTTAAAATGGCAGTTATTTCACACCTGATACATATGCAAATGAACATTCAGCATGTGCTGCCAGGCTTGCAGCAGGTTTATGTGCTGACCTTGCTTCAGCAATTTACTCTGGACGTGTCAAAAATGGTTTTGCTCTGGTAAGAATTTGCATTTGATTATGCATTCCATATAAGAAGGAAAAACCACACTGATATTTTCTTCTTAAATGTTGAGTCAGGTTCGTCCTCCTGGCCACCATGCTGGTGTGAAACAGGCCATGGGCTTCTGTCTCCACAACAATGCAGCAATTGCTGCATCAGCAGCTCAGGCGGCTGGTGCAAAGAAGGTGTTAATAGTTGATTGGGTATTTACCAGTGCTCTATGTTTATCCTTGATTGCTTGATAGTTCTGTTATCATGGGATATTTAACTCATGTAATACATGAGAAATGCAAAAGTTGTGACCTAATTTTTTATTTCTTTTCTCACACCTTGTAGGATGTGCATCATGGGAATGGCACACAAGAAATATTTGAGAGAAGCAAATCAGTAAGCAATGAATTGCTAAACTAAGTGTTGCGTTATGATCAATCTTTCTGCAGAACACTGAGATGGATCTTCATATTATAAGGGAAATCCTGGTCTCATAATTATTAAAAAAAGAAGAAGGGGGAACTCCCGGTCTTGCCTTTTGTACCATCTCATGTTTTTTTCTGATTTAGGATATGTTTATGTTGCAGTATATAACTGTAGAGTTAAACAAACTCTACTGAAGATCCCCTTACTTTCCTTTGATACCGTCTTTGTCCTAGTTATGTACATATTTTGATTAGAAAAATAGGCTAATAAATTTATCGTTATATTCTTAACAAAAGCAAAAACGACGACAAAGGCGGAGATAAGAATTTGTATAGGTTACCTAAGGCCGGAGAGATGAGTGCTCGAGACCTAGACCAAATGAAGTGCGTCTAAGACTAGGAAGACAACGTATTGGTTGAAGAGGCATCCATTAGACGGATCCATAAAATTTTGAATGAAGACTGGGATAGAGACATTGTGCCAGGTGGTTTAGAGCACTCTGAGAGTCGGTGGTACTACGGGTATTGCTGATGTATAAAGGTTGAGGTTAAGGGTGCTATTTATAGGATGAGTAGGCTAAGAGAGGCTGGGTCAAGGCGAGATCCCGATGGAATTTTGGAAGTGCACAGGTAGAGCGAGTTCATACCGTTAAGCCACACTATGAAAGTTTGGGTGAAAGTGGTGGAGATGAGGTAAGGAGTGCGTTTATTTCCAAAAGCCAGTTTGGACTCATGCCGGGGCGGTTTACTACAGAGTCATTCACCATGTGAGTCTGATTGGTAGATCAGTACAGCTAGGAAGATTTGGAGGTTGCGGATTAGGGTTGACGATTAGTAGGCAGTGAAGTGTTGTCTTGCTTGCTTGCTAGCTAGATAGGCTTGTGGGAAGTTTGGCACATTGTACCTGTTACTCCTTTCATACAGGATTAGCAGTATACCCAAGGGTCTTTCAGAAACAAATTCTCTACTTCCACGAGGTACAGATATGGTCTGCGTACGCTCTACCCTTCCCAGGGCCCACATGTGGGATTTTATAGGGTACATTGTTGTTGCCGCAATTTTTTTTTAACGAAAGGGGTAATTGAAGTATTGAAAATCCTGCATAGTTAAATGATAAGTGAAACATATATATCATGGTTTGTATTTGAATTATAAAAGTTAATATGAATTTACTTGGGAGAATTGTATTTCCAAACAATTTGACACATCCTAAAATGAGATTGTTTATCACATTACGTGTATACGTGGACCACGGAGTGTGTTATAACGAATTCCCCGAACACGGCTCATTTGTTGTTTGGTTGGGAGAAGTTCTTTACAACTGAATGTTGTGGTTCTATTACTGAGCAGGTTTTGTATATATCATTGCACAGACATGAGGGTGGAAGATTCTACCCTGGTACAGGAGCTGCAGATGAGGTACTCATTTATTATTAAACTAACCTTTACTGGTGGTTTGGTTAGGTTGAGATTTAATTCATTTTTGTCTATGTAAAGGGCGTCCACAAATCACGATTTTCATGAATTTTGTTTCTAATTACATTCATTTGAGATGCATTGGGATGCCATAGTTTATTTTCCTTTTCCACAGGTTGGTTCAATGGGTGCAGAAGGGTACTGTGTGAATATTCCTTGGAGCCGTGGGGGAGTGAGTGACAATGACTACATTTTTGCATTTGAGCAAGTTGTGCTTCCCATAGGTAGGTATTTTATTTCTCTGTGAAGAACTTAAAAAAGAAACAAAGCTTTACTAAAATGAAGCAGTGAATAAACTTGTACAAAAATAAAGTGAGGATACTTGGAAGCAGTGATTAAGTGGAGATCTTAGCTGCGGTTATATATATCTCTTGCATAAGCCAAAGTAATATCTCCCTGATTGCAGAGGAATGTAGGCATGTTCTGCTCCTTTTTCAATAGTTTATGACTGGGATGCCAAAAGCTAAGTCCATACAGAAAATGGACACCAAGAAAGAACAATGAACTTGTGCAGAATGCCTTTAGTTTTCCTTCGTTTCAAAATAAAATAGTGGAACTTATTGATAAATGAAACCCATGCACATTTTTCATCACAATTGGATATGAATGTAATATGTGCCTTGGTGAGATTGTCCCAATATATTTTTAGTGTGAGGATCACCGCGAATTTACTAGGTTTATATTGGTTGTCAACGTACTGAAATCTTTCTCCCTTGTTTGGGTTTGAGACCGGAAATGTGATTAAAGCTCACATAGGCAGGAGGATGAATAAACTAGATTTGTGAGGAATGTTACATGAAAATGGCAACACTATGCATTTCCTCAGCTAAAATAAGAACTTTTGAAGGTCTGGAAAGACCCAATCATGTGATGCAAACCTCACTTTTATTATTGTACTTTTGGTGTAAGAGAGGAAATACTATGCTGCATTGGTGGTTAGATTGTTGGTGGCTTAGCAATATACGTATTGTATTGAACCTTCCTATTAAATACCATCTTGGTGTATATTAGTAAAATTATTTATCAAATTCTAGACCTTCTGTTTGTTCATCAAATTCTTTTCATATATTGCTCAACAGCGCTATGTGCATTATGCATGTAAAGCCTGTTTCTTAGTGGTTGATTATTCTTACCTCTCCTTGAAATTATCTAGTTCTCTTTAGAAAGTAGGAAAAAACAAGAGTGACCTCATCAACTTCTCTGTTTCCACGTTGTTGCAGCTTTGGACTTTAATCCAGACTTAACTATCATTTCGGCAGGATTTGATGCTGCTAGGGGTGATCCCCTTGGCTGCTGTGATGTAAGGATTTTTCTAGTGTCAACTAGTTTAATAATGTACTCATTTTTACATCTTATATGTTGCCTATGCTACTTTGTGTTACCTTTTGGATCGTCTTTGCAGGTAACTCCTGCTGGTTATGCATCAATGACTCAGATGTTGAGTGCATTGTCAGGTGGAAAATTGCTTGTTATTCTGGAAGGCGGGTTTGTATCTTCTCTTTGTTCCTTCGTCTTGGCTCTTAAATTAAAGAGAACTGGAGGTTTATATGTTTGCTTGTGTTTGAATGGCTACGTTTTGCAGCTACAATCTTCGCTCAATTTCATCATCAGCTACAGCAGTGATTAAGGTAACTCTAATTTACGCAGAGTGAATGGATGGTGGACTAGGATGAACTGATGAAAAGGGCATGTAAAATAACTTAATGTTGGAAGAAAAAAAAGAACTTCAGTGTCTCCTTTCAAAACTTAGAGTTGGAAATAAGGCAAAAGAACGTGCAGTATCAGGGGAGTGTTTTTATCAGCATGTAAACCTCCAGTTTCAAGTACATGGGAGATTACAGATTCAAGTAAAACAACCAAGACAGATTTTATTCCCCTAGTCCTACCTCACTTCTATCATAACTATCACTACTAAGTCCAGTGTGATGAATTTTTCAACTGCTGCCACTTATGCTTGCCTATTGCAATGGGTATAGGCTCTTGGTCTGCACTAGTGTCTTGATATTAATGGTCATCTTTTTTAGTAGCTTTGACCTATTTCTTGTTTTGCTTTTCCTAACAAATTGCTCTCTGCATCAAAAGCATATTTGAAATCCTGGCTGAGTAATGTAGAACAAGCTTTTTTAGTTCTCAATAGTCTTATTGCTGTACATATTCACACCTTCTTGGTGCAATTACTGAATTTTCAAGTATTTGTCAAAAATAAAAGCTTACTCATTTCTCTACTAGGGGAATTATCCACCCAGTATCTTTTTCAGTTCGTTTTGGTTGCAGATAATCTGTTACATTATTATTATGACTAGAACAGATTCAATGGTGGTGACGTGGAAACTGTTGAACGTTTTTGTTCCCTAGTTTATCCTTCAAACTCCTGGGGTATGCAGAAGTTTGAGTGTTTTTTCTGATGTTGTGTGATGTTGTCCTTTCTTTTCTAGGTCTTGCTTGGTGAAAGTCCAACGATTGACATAGAAAATACTGTACCTTCCAAAGCTGGACTGCGAAGTGTTTTGGATGTTCTAAAGATTCAGATGAACTTCTGGCCTACACTGGAGGCAAACTTCACTAAATTGCATTCGGAGTGGGGATCCTATGCTTTTCAGGACACAAGTGAGTTTCTTGAATTTTCTTTGGGGCGTATATACGAGGTCCCTATTTCTTGTACACTATAGTCACCCTGCAGGCCAAGTGAGGTAAAAATTGATCTAACTATGAAGATGACTGACCATTTAACATCTGAAATATTTTGAACTTTGATGATGATAAAAGATCAAATTCAACCCCAAATTGAGTTCCCTGCACCTGGGCAGTGAAAAGATGATCCAGTAGACCAGCTTCAGCCCTCTTGCTTTATGCATGTTAGCTGATGAATTTTTTATGCTCGGACTATATATCTGCTGAAAATTGATCTTCTCGTCTAAGAAGTGGGTACATCAGTCCGGGTGTGGGGAATAGGTCATTTCTTGTAATAATGGATTTGAGGACAGTTAACTTTTTTTATAAAGAATCCTAGACACAAAATTCTGCATTGGTGTTGTGGAGGATTGGACTTCTAGTGTATTGAACTATATCCTTGCTGGTAATGCAGGAGAACAGAGTAAAAAAAGACGCAGGACTGGTTTACCAATATGGTGGAGATGGGGACGAAAGAGGCTGTTGTATCGCATACTGTCCAAGCAGCTGCGTACAAAGTCCTCTTGTAATTTTTCTTGTTGATGTTGATTCTCGTTGTAAGCTACAGGCATTAGGTCTAGACTGTGTTGTTGTTTTGTAAGCCTGCACTACTGTTTCTTTTTTTCTTGTTTTGTTTAGTCATTGTACCTCTTAACTAAATCTCTCCCTTGACGTACTCGGATAGTAGTTATTTTGCAGTGTTCTATTTCTAATCCATCAACGTGCGTATGAGTGATTATGGTTTAATAGAACCTGCAGCAATCAAATAACAACAAACATATCAGTGTAATCTCAAAAGTGGGGTATGGGAATGGTAGGATGAACAAATACCGTATCTGTATCTAACCTTACCCCCTACCTTTATGGAGTTAGAGAGTGATAGACCCTCTGTTTGAAATAAAAGTAATCGGTGTGGAATTGTAAGAAAATAAGACAGTGAATTAACAAAATACAAAACTGAAGCAGCCATTTAGTGGTACAGATTGAAAGAACTTGCCTTCTTGGATGTCTTGTGTCCATTCATGTAATTGTCAACAATTGGAGTCGTTGCCATTGCTGTTGGTGGAATTGAAATGTAGAAATAAAATAGGATGTCCAATTTTATAATGCAATAGAGCTAAAGGTGACAAATATCTTCAGGACCCTCTACCCCCACCCCTGAACTAAAAAGCAACCCTCACATGCTAAACGCCGTCGGTCCATATGTTATTTTAACCTAGTCTTAAAATCTCAATTATTGGGATTTGAATAGTACTAATTTTCTACTTTTAGGGAAATAAAATCTAATATCTGGGATAATAGAAAAGTAACACTTCAAATTTAAGTTGCAGCATTTATTTATTTTTCACTTTAAAAATTACGTATTTTTTAAAAAAATGTATTATAGATTTCCAAGAGAAGGTTCCTCTCTCTCTTCTTTTTCTCCACAGAACCTTCATTTGTTCTTTTCCCCACAATCATGTGCCACTGTTCCCTATTGGTGGATTTTGCGTTCAGGACACTTCCTCTATTCTTCCCTGCTAAAGAGTCCTCCAAACTGGAAAGAAAAACCACAAAATTGCTTTGGCTTTTCTATAAGTGGGTTAAATTAGCTTATAAATACCTTTTGATTTACTAAAATGATTTATAAATCAAATTGTATAATTTTGAAGGATTCTGATCAAATGTTTATTATTTTGTTCTTAATAATTTTATAATCTCAGAAACTCTTTTTAAATAGTATAACTTTTAACTATTTTTATGTTTTATTGGACACATACCATTAAAATAAAATGAAAACTTTTAAAACTTGTGTTCATTATCGATTCATCACTATTCTACAAAATACATAATTGCTTCTATGTATAAAAAAAATACTAGTAATACTTATACTTTTCGACCCTTAATATTTATTACCTTTATGTAAAAGAATTGATGAGCAATTGAGCATCCCTTAAAACATCCAAACATACTAAACTCTAATATTTACAAATTTCTCAATAAGAAAGAAAACAATTGGGAGAATTTTGATACTTAAAAACAACCCATGAGCCTTTCAAAATTCAGTTTTCAGAGAAAGCTCAAAAGCATTTATGATATACTAACTCTATTGAAATTTATTTAGAAAGAAGAAAATCCAGTTATGTGTGCACCATTCATTTACTGGTGCATGGGTGGTGGCGGCGGTGGTATAGGATATGCAAGTGGAAGTACATAAGGAGGATGGTGTCCATGAGGAAGCATAACCGGTGTTCCGACGGCTGAGGCAAGGTGGCTTGGCGGTGCAGAGACGGGGTGACCCATCGGAGCACCGTACATGCCCATACTATGCATATTGGGTTGGGTTCTGTGCTTGACTGAGGGTCCAAGTGCAGCTGGATTTGATGGATTCGGATTCACCTGTTGGCCTGTAATTGGAGCTTGATGAGTTGAAACGTCTCCTCCATTATTGATACTTGTAATGTCGTGAATACTTGACCTTCTTCTATCTCTATTCATGGAATTCAAACGAATAAAGTATTTCTGGGCATGACTAGCTACTTGTGTTGGTGTTCGAGATATAACAAAATTCCTTGAAATACTTCTCCAATCTCCTTTCCCAAATTTGTCTAAACCTAGCAAAAACAACCTGTAAATCAAAATTAGGCAAAATTAGGTTTCATTACCATTAGATTTAAACTTTTTTTCGCCTTAAAATTGAGTATTATTACCTATGTTCTTCTTCAGTCCACGGTATGCCTTTTCGTCTCTCTTGTTCAGACCTAGAATTCCCTTTTCCACCATGCCCAATCGGGTCATGGGTCGTACCTGAAAATCCATTTGAATAACCACAATTGGAGCGCCGTCCGTCCACTGACCCAGGATATCCTAGATTAACTTCTTTAGTTGAAGAGGAAGAAGCTTCTTCTCCTTTGTAATTGGGTATTGGAACTTGGCCTGCTTCAATGGCTGCAACATCTTCCAAAAGTAGCTGGTAATGTTCCTTAAGCTCATCAATGGTCTTTGTGGGGACCATAGAAGCAAACTGCTCCCATTGCTGTTCAGAATCTTCAACCCAGTGCAGAGCAATGGCATTCTCAAAAGCTTTTTCTTCTTCTCTGCTCCACACTACTGAAGATGAATCTGAAGGTGACATTTCTAAATTTCTTCTTGTTTTATTTTTTTCGTTCAATTTGGGGAAAATTGCATCTAATAATATTTCTCTTTTTCAGTTTGAAAGAAAGAAAGAAAATAATAATAGTAGGGAAGAAAAGAAAGTGGGGGTATCAAATGTATTAATGGAGAAGGACCACTTGTGAGGTTGAAGGGATGGTCTGATTTGTCACCTTCATACAAAGTCATGCAAACAAAATTACAAAAAGTGAAAAGCCAATTGTAATTCAAGAATAATTTTTCACTTTAGTTAAGAGTCGATATAAAGTTGAGATTTTATATAGGGGATTATTAAGGATAAAAGTAAAACTATAAACATTCTAGGTCCAATGAATGAAAATATTTTAAAGATACTACTCATTTCGGTATTTAATTTGATCAATCTAAATTAAATTAATATCTGAAAATTAAAATTTCAAGTAATTTGACAGTAAAAAAATGAAACGTGATGAATTTTAAAACGGAATGAGTATCGAATAATCTAAATATTATATATTTTAAAAAATGAATATAATAATGGGGGTCTTATACACATTGAAATTAATCTCCATATATATATACATAAGCTGACAAAAAGGTGGGCAAAAGAACAAACAGAAAAGGGAAAAGAAAGAAAATAAGGAAAGGTAGTGTAGAAAATTACCAACTTTTATACAGCAGTAAAATCTTTCCTAGTTAGTAGAATGGAAACTATGGAATAAACAATGATTAAAAGGGTGGAATAATAAATAAAGAAACATGAAAGTTTAAAAAATGGTATCTATTTCATCATTAAAATGAAAAAAAAAAAAGTGGCATCTTAGTAGTAGCAATGATTGAATGGGTGAATGGCAATAAGAGGCTCCATACAAAATCTTGTAGCAATTTTGGGCCACGCACTGTTTGCCCTCGTGATTCTAGGACTAGTACTAATGACTTTAGGAGTTAATTTTAGATTGAGTTTATTTGATGTTTGATTAAGATAAAATTGTGGAATAGCTTATTTAAAAAATAATTGTTTTAGAATTTTAATATAATCTTTATTTTATATTGAAAATGAGATAACAATTCTCAAATAATTAATTGTGAGATAATTTGTTCCAATCAAATGAGCCTATAAGGGTTAGGATATATTAGAGATAATAATATTGTTCTAGCCAAACACCCTACGATTTAGGATGTATTAGAAATAAGAATATTTAGTATTAATTTTAATATTATGTAATCCTTTCTTTATTTAGTGAGTAGTATTTTGACCTTGTGCACTTTATTCAGTAATATTAGGTTAATGGTGGGTGGGAAGAAGTGGGATTGGAGTCAAAATATTTAAAACTTTAATTGCAACTTTGCAAGTAATCAAAGATCTTCTAATTATGTATTGAGCACGAATGTATGATAAAATGATAATCACGTGTCAATTTGCTTTAACTTTTGGTTAAATAGGTACTCCATTTGTCCCTAATTACTTGTTCACTTTTTCTTTTTTAGTTGTCCCTAATTACTTATCTATTTTGACAAATTAAAAAAGGACAAAAATTAATTGCTTATACATGGTCATTATTTTGACTTAAAAAAAGAGTAGATAGTTTATGCACAATTCAAAAGATGAGTAATAAATCTTTTATTTTCCTCCATATAAAAACATAAGGTTTTACAATATAATAAAATTTGAACTCGCGATGTCAAAGAAAAAATTCATAAAGAAGCGAACCATATTATGCACGGATTAAATGTAAACTAAAATAATTAATATTTTATTTAAAATTATTATTTTTATTTCACCAATCAATACAATAGTAATTCTGTTTACTTGAGAAAGTGTTGCTCAGACAGTACCACAAGGGTGTGGGGAAAGAATTTTGAGTAATGATTTTTTTCAAAATTTTGTCACTTTTTGTCTTTCAACCTCTTATTCATGTACCTACGTGGCTTTTTCTCCTTCTCTAATTCATGTAGAACTATGCCCATCTTGTCAATAAGAAGATGTGAGTAAACATAAACAATCAAAAATGCCATAAGAAAAAAGAAAAAAAAAAGAGAGGAAAAGTTTGAATAAAATAAAATAAAAAAGGAGTTGCGCCAACGAGTTGTCTAGTTTAGGTCTTTTTTCTATTTTTATAATAAAAATAAAAAAGAAAAGTTTATGTCTGGAATTTGGATATTACAAAAATAAATATGCACAGTTTCATTTTCATAAAAGGAAATAATTTGAATTATGATATTTCAATATGCAATGGGGTCTTGAATAATTGTATATATTAACCTTAAGTCTATGTCACACTTCCATCATTTTCATACGGAAAAGATATATGGTTGTTAGCTTGTAAACTTATAATAATAATATTTATAATTACGCATCACTCTTGTATGAGTTGATTATAATGATAATGTTAATTATAATAATGTATTAAAATAAGACCAAAGTACGCCTCAAAAACAATACGTTCAACATCAACGTACTAACAAGATTCAAAACTTATAATTAACGGACAAAAATATCAACTATATGAATCTTTGCTTTTGGTGTGTATTAATTTTAAGATATTGTTAGTCATGGTTTTAAAT